CACACTCACACACACACTCACACACACACACACACACGCACACATCCACACACACTATAATAGCAGTTTCTGATGATGATACCCTGTGGATCTTTGTGGAAACAGGACAACGGCATGCTCTGTAGTAGGTTCAACGTTTCCCACAATAAAAGGTTCTTACAAGTCAAAGATCGCCACTTTCTGGAAGTTTTAGTGTTTGCACTATTTCCACTTGAGATGGAGCAGCTCGAGGTGCCGGCTCCACTCAGAGTTCAAATCCTCAGAAGGAAAGCAGCAGCTCCCTCCAAGGGTAGGGAGCCCAGCACCATACCACAGTTTGGCCCCACGCTGAAAGCTAGCCAAGCTGTTTGTTCATGTACACAAGGAAAACATGCTCATTACAGGGCACACCTGAGCAAAGTGTAAAACTCAGGAGATGGCTGCATGGCTTTCCAAACCTCTGCGGAAGACAAGCAAGACTGCTTGCGACCCTTCCTGCACCCACACGGGAAGCAAAGACGTGCATGGCGGAGTGGCCGGAGGGTCCTACGGCAGTTGCAGAGGGATCCAGGCCTTCTAAGTGCCACTGCTCGTCTCTGACCGACGGCTGACCCTGGCAATCCGACTCAGGGCCTCCACATGTGCCCGCTCACCCACGGCACTGCTGCTCTCTCGACTTCCTAGCTGCCATGACTGCCGGCACAGAACTGCAAGTTGGTCCCCTCAGCCCTTCTAGGGTATAAGCACAGCCCCTTCCTCACCGGGCAGCACCAGGGTTAAGCAATGCTACAATGTTGTTAATGAACAGACCTCAGACCCGACCCTAGGGTTGCCATTCTTGGTACTCACGGCAGAGCTTCTCACTCCTCCAGGGATGCACGGTGCCGCCAGCAGCCTGGCACGCAGCAGCATATGTAGCCAAGGCATCACACAGTGGCCCAGACTGACCGGGCAGCAAGCAGAGGTCATAGACACAGTCACGTACAGCTCCCTGGGGGTTCAGCAACTTGTGACACTCCCGGAATGGACCCTTAGGATCAGCAAGGATCCCACATTCTTTTTTGCTTTGTAGTTGCTGGGTCACAAGGGAGTCCAGCTGGGGACAGTCACCAGGATTAGTTGCTCCACACCCAGGAATTATCTCTTCCTGCCAGCTGTTCCCAAAATCCAGTGCGCTGCTAGCTTGGCCTCCACCCTTCAGAGCCAGGTCATCGGCTGGGTCCCCATTGAAGTTCCCACAGAGCCCACACACAGCGTTAGCATAGCTGCTGGGCACCTTGGCAGTCACACGGGCATCCCAGTTGTAGGTAACAGTCAAGCCAAAGTCTGTGCGCACGACAGCATCGTTGCCCTGGCGGAACACCTGCACCTGCCCACCTGCAGCCTGGAAGGGCAGGTGCTGAAAGATGCCGTCCACCTGGGTAGAGATGCAGACCAAGGACAGGTCAGGGGAGTCATGCTCCGCTGGCTCCAGCCACCCTCGGTTCCACCTCAGGGCGCCACAGCGGCTGTTCCGTCTGCCTGGCACATCACCCATCACTCCTCACCCTCTAAACTGAAACCCAAACCTCTGACTGCTGCTTTTCGAAGCCTGCCTCCCCTGTCGCCCAGGTCCCTAGTCCCCACAGGCTCATGTGTTTGAACATCGTCCACAGCGGCTGGCACTGCATTCGGAGGCCCTGGAACCTTTAGGAAGCAAAAGCTGGGAGCTGGGAGTAAGGTTCTCCAGGTTATGACCTGGCCCTACTTCCCACCGACCTCCCTCTCTGCTTTCTGCTCCACTGAGATGTGAGCAACCTCTCCTCACATTACAGCCAGTAGCCACGGCTCCTACCACAATGCGCTGTCTCCCCTCCAACCGTGAGCCAGAGCGCATCTGCACCTCACGCTTCTTCTTGTCATGCATTTGGACACGGAAAGAAGAGTGAGTAACTCATCTTGTAAGCTTTCTTGTTAAGTCTAGCCTCGAGGGCTTTGCGTTCTGCTGAAACACCACTCACCAACCCTGCTTGTTCTGCTTTATCCTTCCGGACTTACCTGTGGTTCAAGCCCCTGACACTGCCATGCCTGGCTTTTGTCTCTGATGTTACAGCCCTTGCCTCTGCTGAGCCCTTTCTGGAACAGCACTCTTTGCTCTTCACCCTGCTCTCTGCACTTCCAGTTTTCAGAGCCAAACCTCCCAGTGGGCCTCACATGACCCAGATGGTCTGAGCCCCGCTTCAGTCTCCCAGCTCAGCCCTAACCCTGCATCTCCAACCATGCATGCACTTGAACTCACAGAGCTCAGGCCAGACTGGGGCTCCTGCACTTGCTGTACCCCTGCTACAATGTTTCCATTCACTTCCACGTCACAGTTCTCAAACAGCTGCCGGTGCTGCCTGGCATCAAGCTCCTCTGCCCACGTGCCTGCCCCTGTGCGCTTCGCGACCCACACTTCCCTCTGCTCCTGCGTGTCACCTCCCAGGGTTACTCTCAGGAGTGCTCTCTCCATCTTAGCGCTGTTCTAGTCTCTTCACCATCACCCGGCCTCAGGCTTCATAGCTGCTCTTCCCTCTGCCCAGACGGTGCCACCATTCACCTCCAGGCCTCAGCATTGTTCTCCAGGCCTCGCCTGACTTCAAGTCAGCGCCTGCCTCAGCCCTTCCCTGGCCATCTCTGCTCCCCACTCAAGGCCCACCGCAAACTTGCTGCTTCTCACCCACTCCAGCTTATCCCTGCTCTGGGACCTTTACACACGCTGTCCTCCTCCTGGGATTCCTTTCTGCCTGTCCCGTATCTCACCTCAAGACAAGCAGCAGAATATAAGAACTCTCTCTCCTGCAGGCTGGACGGACAGCGTAGTAGTTCTTAACATGAACTGCTCTTGCAGTGGGCTCAAGGAGTTCAGGTCTCAGCACACAGGCTGGGGAGCACATTGCGCGCGCACCCCCATTAAAGATAATAAAATCTTTTTTGAAAAAGGATGAACTCCAGAACAAAACAGGTAGGTTCCGAACTCTAGCCCTTGGGCACCTCAGGCTCACCAGCCCTCTCAGTACACACTGTAACCCTCCCCAGATGACTACCTCTCCGTTTCTACTTTCCTTGCTGGCTGTGGAGAGGAGGTGAACAGATGCGTGCTGCTCACTTAGCCCACTGAAGTAAGCAGTGACAGTGCGTGCTGCTAGTAGCACTCAAGCCTTACACAGAAGCCATTTCAGAGAGCAGAGAGAACAGACCATTAACAGTGAGCCCCTCTCCTTCTGTGGAGTTCCACAGCTAACACTTGCTTGTGGGCAAGATTTCCTTCACTGGAAGATGGCTTTGGGGACTAGAAGTGAAAGGCTGTGAGAGGTACATGGGGCCAGAAGCACAGAAATTCTCTCTGCCCCCCTTTTGGACGTTTCCATTCCCCTCCCCAGGGCATGGGCCAAACTCCACCTACTGCCCAAACTTCTTAGCTCTAAGTATGCGATACTGTGTGCTCACTTTTCCAGTTGTATGTTTGAAATCTACAGAGGAAGTGAGCGCTCCTCTACCGTGGACGGGGGCTGTGCCCTTCTGAAGACCACCTGGACACCTGAAAGCCCGCTCCCTCCTGCTCCCGGAGGCTGGGCGAGGGTCTGGGTTAGCCTCCAACGTGCCCACCCACGCACACTGGCTTTCCGTGTGTCAACTTGCTCTCAGCCACCATCTTCCAGAAAAGGCACAAACCTACTACTCTGAAGTTTCAGAAGGAAGACAGCACCCACCAGCATGTACAGGGTACCGCGTGGGCACCAAAGCATCTTTAAAGACCAGACAGACTTGAGTTCATCAGAGTCTCCCAACCACCCAGCCAACAGCGGGGACTGCTGCTCCAGGACGAGACAGACATCTTACTCCTTCCCTTCTCCGAGGAAAGTTCAAAGGTTGGAGACAGAGCTGAGAAGAGATGGCACTGGCCGGCTCCACAAGAACTTTTAGTAAGCCCCTCTAGCCCAACCACAGCCACTAATCTTTTGTGGGATCCCCCCCAGTCCCTTATCCCGCAGCACTCACCAGCACTTTTCCGGGGTGCTCCCTCCGCACAGCCACCTCCACACCGTGGGCCACCACTCGCACAGCCCTCGTGTAGCTCACGGTCTGGCTGCCTCGGTGTTCATTTTCCACCAGCACCTTAAAGGCGGGCAGCGAGTTGTCCTGACCACACGAGCCCACCAGCAGGTATGTGCAGGTACCCATAAAGTCAAAGCGCCTTCCATCAAAGCTCACGTAGTGCGGGTCTCCTGATGCCTGGCAGCTGGCAAAGTTGTCTGGGTAGCACCCCAGGAGGCCATTCTGCACTCTGCAGCGCTCCCCAGAAGGGCACCCTGATGTGTCCTTGCAGGTCACTTTCTGGGTGGCTCCATCACATGTGCAGCGGCGCTTGCATAGGTCGTCGGCGAACACTTCTTGACCGGGAGCCAGCAGGCGGCCCTCGAAGGCGCAGCCACACGATGACACAGGCACGCAATCACCGCCACTAGCCACGAAGCCTGGAAGGCACACGCAGCCCTCCACGCAAGGGCGCCCAGAGCAGTTGCTCGGGGCGGCCTCTGAGTTGCAGGAGGCTGGGCAGGCGGGGCTGCAAGGATCATAGCAGCTGTTGGCTGGACAGGACAGGGCTGGAGAGTTCAGGAGAAAAGGTGGGTCAGGCCAGGGTGGTGCTGCTTCCTCAGAGCTGCCTGCCCCTCGGCTAACGGCTCTCTTACCTTCTTGCTGCTCAGGCCCCAATGCCCGGCTCCACCCATCCCCCTGGGCAAGCACTCAGGGGCAAATCCTGTGACCGTCCAAGCCCACGGAGAATCTGCCTCCACAGCAGCCTCCTGCCTGCTTTCCTGCTCCCCTGTGCTAACTGTGCTTCTCACAGCAGCCAGAGAGACTATGGATGCAGGATCAGAGCAGGTACCTCATCTCCTCCCCACTCCCACCTCCTGTGGCTCCACCTCACTCAGGGGAAGTCAGCTACTCCCAAGGCCCAGGGCTTGCCCTCATCGGCTCCCAGTCCCCATCTCTCTCATGCACCCTACCCATTTGTCTGTGCCTTCCCTATCTCAACCCCTAATCGCTCCAAACTCTCCCTATCCAGTGATATGTCTGTCCCAACCTTTGGCTAACTTAGGCAAAGCTTGGGTGTGTGGGCTGTGTCTCTGGCATTGCCCAGCATCAGGCTCAGTCACAATCATGGCTAAGATACTGAGCAAATGCACAGGGTTCCTTTTCCCTCATCACGGGCTCCCATGATGTTACTTACGGCAGCTGGCCTGTGACCTCCAGTTTCCAAGAGAGACACCCAGTTCCATACAGGCCTGGGCATAGGCTCTAAGGCTCCGGCACAGGCTGAGCCGCTCTCCTCCAGTCACACACAGGTCAAACACACACTCCTCTAGGAAAGGCTGAGGGTCCAGGAATTCATGGCAGGCAGAGAAGGGGCCTGTGGACAGAGTTAGCATGCCACAGAGGCGGTCTCCCTTATAGTGCTGGACCTGACCTGCAGTGCAGGAGGGACAAGTGCTGTGGCAACCGTCACCACACTGGTCGTCCCCATCCTCCAGCTTCCAGCTATTTGCAAATTCCAAGGCATTGGGAGCCTGGTCCCAGTCGGGCGTGAGGAAGTCATCAGCAGGGTCTCCGTTATAGTTGCCACACAGCCCGCACACCTGGTCCTGGAAGCGCTTGGGCAGGCTCAGCGTCAGCTGGCCATCCCAGTCATAGGTGACCACCAGCCCAAAGTCCAGCTCTATCACGCCCTGGATCCCACTCTGGAACACACGCAGGCGGCCCTCACTCAGGGACGCAGGCAGGCGGGAGCGCTGATTGTCAATCTGCAGAGAGACGGCAGCAGCAGCAGCGGTCAGACCCCTGTGTAATCTCCCCTTCAGCCCTTCATCTGCTCCACTCAAGTCCCCAGCTCTAGCCACACAGGATGCCTTTCTTCCTCTGCCACCAGCTGGGCCTAGGATGCTTGCTCTTGCTGGCCGGGAGCGTTCTTCCCCGAGCT